TAAATGGATCTACGTGTACAGCAGTGTGGAACTAAGTATGTTGAAATGCGTGAGAGATCTAGAAATAGACGGCAAAATGTAGAGCGAGAGGAGAGAGGGAGGGAAGGAGATATAACCTACATGGGGAGTGGGCCAAGGCCCAAAGACCACCAAACGCACGAGGAGCATCTCGCTACTTTTAATAACCGTTAAAACGTTGAAGAACGGTTAATTCCCATAGGTTCCGGTCTCCGGGCCGACGAGACGGCTGCGTTGTTTGGCACCGAAAGCACAGACCGCATCACAAAACATTCCAGTTTTCTGTTGATGCCGTGCAATGCCGGAGTGTAAATACACCAAACATCAAACCAAATAGACCAAACACGGGACCCATTTCTTGCCGTCCGCAAACACTCGCAACCACGACTTCCTTGCCAGCTGCAGCCATGACCTCCCTGCTTGCCGCACCCTAAACGACTCCATTCTCGCGAATTCCCCTCGAGATGTGGCTCGAAATCTTCACACATCTCCCTTCCGAGGCCCTCCCTTCTGTGCACCTCACCAACCGGGTCTTGGCCCGCATCGTGCGGCCGCTGCTCTTCCAGCACCTCGAATATCACCCTTATATGTGCATAGCTGGATACGCAATGCCATCCGGCACAGCTTCGTGTTTGACCATTCCTGGACCAGAGCCACTCCGCGCACTCTTCCAGCGACTGGAATACTGGGCCGCAGCGGACGTCGCGCCCCTCGTGCGCTCCTGTCGCGTCACAGCATGGCCGAACTCCGGGGTCCACGGCTGGCCGTTCTTCCGCGCCGATGACCTATACGTCTTGTTAACCGCGCTTTTCGACACTTTTCCCTCCTTTGCGGGGCTACGTGACCTTACGCTCCAGAGCGTTCATCTTACGCAGCCCCGCTTGGAGCAGTTATGCCTCCTCCCTAATCTGGCGCGTCTTGAAGTCGAAGAATGTACCATGGCTGAAGCTCACACCATCGATTCGGCGACCCTCCCTTCCCTCGGCGTCTCTGACTTCACATGGACTTCCTTTTTTGCGAAGCTGGCTCACTGGTTTGCTTTACTGCGCCGAGATAAACTCGTCCGGCTGGACATAGAGCTGAGGGACAGCGCAGAGTTGACCGCCCAGATCCACACCGGCGACGCCTGGAACCACGTGAAGACCCTCCACGTCGTCGCCGCTGTGGCTTCTCGCCCGCTGAGGGACGTCCTATCCAAATTCCCCGCGGTCGAAACTTTGGTGTTGGATGTCCCCTCCGCTCAGCCTCCGTCCCCGATGTCTGATATCCTCCTTCCATTGCTCAGGGAATACACGGGACCAGCCGAGTATCTCCCCTCTTTCCTGTCCAACCCTACTATGCGCCGTGTCACCATCCCTCGTTGGTGGACCTTGCAGTGGACAGATGAGCCCATCGATACTATCGCCTACTTTCAAACGCTCGTGTGTCCCAACAACGTCACCGCTCTGCGTGCGCGCTTTCCGGAGTTCGACCACACGCACCTGGCAGGTCTGAGCTTGGTGTTTCCCCACCTCGCCGAGCTGTACGTGGAGGTTTCGTCCACATACAGGAACGACGTGAGTCCCTTTGAGGTGAGTGCAGTTTCTTCTCCGTTCCGCATGGGGGCAGCTAGTTTCTGACCCCTCTTCTGTGCAGCCGGATACTTTCTTCGACGATATCGCGTGGCACTCATCCCTACCCACCGGCCTTCAAAAGCTCGCCATCCACTGGCAACAAGTAGGCACCCGTTATCTACACGACCTCGAATACAACTGTCCCGATGTGAACGAGTTGAAAGAGGCGCTTGTGGCGCAACATCCGGATCTGCGGGTGCTGTGGGTGGATGGGTCCGGTACGATGTACTTCTGGAGGAAGGGGCGCGAGGTGATACAATATGATGATGAGGGTGCGGAGGAGGATGAGGGTGCGTGTGGATTCGAATATCGCGCTTTTTTTTTTGACTATTTGCTGATACGGAAAAGGCTTAGGTGAATGCGAGGAACGACGGAGGGTGCTTCGTGTGGAGTGGGATGCCGTTTTTGTGCGCTAGTCTTTCGCTGAAATCGCTGAACGGTATTATCTTGACCCCTTTGACTTGGATTGACAATAACTTATGTCCTTCACCGAAAGGTATTCCCGCCTTGGAAGATATATTACATCTGTGGAATTTTTCAATTCCTCCAATGTGTGATTCTATCCGACTCTAGTTCAGTTCACTCTGCCAGCCGCACCGGCCCCGGAAAGTGCGCAAGTCGCGCTTTCAACAGTTTTGATGTCCGCCGCAAAGGTTTCCTCGCCAACCAACTCCCCCTCGGAAACGGCGGTTCAATCTTCGAATAGAAACAAGACCAAAGAACGCGTCGCGTCGCCGGATCTTTTCTTTCACAGGTGAATTTCTTTGTTTCTAATCGCGGTAAGTACATAGCTAGCGAATCGTTCGTCCCATTCGGGCTCAACGCGTCCACGGCGCGAGTTATTCGCTCTCGCTCTAAACTCCTATCCCAGCCAACCACCTTTTTTCAAGTCCAAGTTCCCGCAACCAACCCAAATCACCAATCAAGCAACCCCCCCGGCCCACACCCCGGCCTCGCCAACCCCATCCCGCCTCTAAGGAGCGCAGGGAGGACAAGCCCGCCCTCAATGGTGTGCACGACGATTGCGTCGGCCTCGTGTGGCGTGACGCGGCCGTACCAGATCGAGGCGCCGGTGGGGGTGTAGATCTACATGATAGTATTTCAACTGAGTCCACGCATATACGAGGGAAGCAAGGGAGGAAGAATGGAGGGCAAGGTAAGAGGAGGGGAAAGCAGGACGCACCATACAATTCCCCGCATACTCGTGCCCGCCCATATGCGAGTTGTGCACGATGAGCGCGCGCTTGGCGACCTGCGCCTCTTTCAGTGCGGCGTCTACGTACGCGTTCTTGGCTACGTGCGTCCCCGCGAACTGCTCCAGCGGCGCATCGAGCGGGTGTTCGAGCTCGGTGTCGACGGTCCAGCCGCGGGATTCGAGGGCGGTGGTGAATGCTGTCGCCAATTCAATCTAGTTAAGTGAGTACCAGAGTGGGATGGAGACGCACCGCGCTCGAGCTTGGGCGCGGAAATGCCGCAGCGTTTGTCGCGTCGCGCGTGGGAGCCTACCGCGGTCGTCAGTTGCAATTTTCACAGCAGGCATGGAGGGAGGCGCGCACGCACAGAATGTGAGCACACACGAGTACGGCAACACCCAGGTACTAAACCCCGCCTCCGCCGAGTCCATGGAGCCCAGAACGCGCGGGACACGCGGATCGAGCGCAGCCCGCCACAGCGCCCGCGCGCCCTCGCGCGTCGCGGGTACGCCCGCCACCATAACAAAGTCGGGGAAGATGAGCACGCTGTGCATCTCCTCGGCGTCGTGGGAGATGGACTTGATGTGCGCGTTGAGGACGGAGATGTGGGTTGATTCGGCGGCGGTGAAGATGCCTGGGACTTCTGGGAGGGCGGGGGTCGTGGTGGAAGGAGGGGGGAGCGCGGTGGGCTGGATGGCGCTGGTGATGTGGGCGGCGAGGGACTGGCGGCTCCATGTGATCTCGGGGAACCAGTCCTTCGCGCCCGTGGAGATAAATACCTGGAAAAAAGTCGGTTCAATATGTACTCAAGATTAGGCCCGAGGTTCAGACGCACCTGGCGCCGGAAGGGGTCGACTGTGCCCAACATCTGCGTCTCCATGTCGATCTTGAACCGCGTAGGATATTCACCGTGCCCTGCCCCGGTCACATAGAATCAGATAAAACAAACAAATGAAGGTGGGGCCTGCTCACCGTCCTCGCACGGATCCGCGCAGGTCCTGCATTCTGCGTACGAGACGGGGACGGCGCCTGCGTCGAGTTGGGCGCGGATGTTGTCGGGGTCAAGCTCGTGACTGAAAGCCCAGGCGCGCAATCGGCGGAAAGCGCTCATCGGGGGAAGTGTGGCCTTTGCATCCACGCTTTTGAGGGTGTTTTAAAGAGAGAAGCTCAAAAACTGCGGCCGTGCGTCCACGCAATTGATTAGATTAGATTACGTTGATTGTCATTCCGGTCTGGTCAGCACTCAACCCGTTTTTCCGCGGTTGCTCGTCGAGGAGAAGGCGGCGATAATAATAGGGAGGAGCTTGGTGACTGGTATGTCGGTGGGAGTCTGGTGTGTGGCGATTTTATGCGCCTCCATGCAAATATTCCCAAAAAAACCCGCGACGCGACGAAACAGACGCGTCCTTTGGTTAGTCTCTCGTAGACAGACGCTACAACGTGAATCTCGTACCTCGAATGTTGTATCCTTTGGTCATGTTTCATTCAAAGATTGACGGCGGCATGACGGCTTGTTGAATTTCCGAAAGTTCGAATTCGAGGCTATCTTCTTGCTTCCTTTCGTGTGCAAAGAAGAGAAATGGCGCGGAAAATGGAAACTGGAGTGGTTGCGCTTGGGTCGCGCGAAGAGATGGAGAAAGAAAGAGAAAAAACAAGGGAAACCACTTCAGTAAATACTACCCGACCCCGAATCGAACGAGGAACTCCTGCCTACAATGCCGCTCATGGAATACCTAAGGAGGGCAGGTGCACACCGTGTGCTGTGAGGTATCTGAGCCTGTATCTCTTGTGTGCTTCCAACCACCAATTTTTAACCTGGATGGAAAAAAAAGTAGAAGACATGCATCACCCAACCCAACATACACCTCAGAAAAAACCACAAAGAGAGCAAATGCACATCATGCGCTATTGTGTGCCCTCACCGTTTGCTCTACACTATCCACACCCACCAAAATTCAACTTGAATTAGAAAAATATCAACTGGAACGCATGGAACGCAACCACCCGACCCCGAATCGAACAGGGACCTCCTGCTTACGACTCCGAACATTGGATAAGTTAGGGAGATGCACACCATGTGCTATCGGGTGTCCTAGACTTTACCTTTCAGGTCCATTTATGCTACCGAATATTAACTTGGGTTGGAAAACAACATCACAACTGGACGAGAGGGGCATCACCCAACCCCGAATCGAACGAGGGCCTCCTGTTCGCAGCCGTATATACCTTCATTATGCCAGGCAGATGCACACCATATGCTATTGGGTGTTCCTCCATTACCTTTTGTAGCTCTACATACCACCAAATACGTACCTGGAACCAACCTCGAATCGAACGGACCCGGTGAGGTAGGATCACAATGAGGCCGTCATAACTGGTGGCTTGTACAGGGAGTCCTAAATGGTGATCTTGTCCTCCAGACCTAAGTACTCATGGAAACCTCCACTAATTGTACTCCTTCATATATTCCAGGCCAAGGACCACCTCCTCGCCCGTCGTCATATCCTCGTCTAAGGAAAAGTGCGTCAACCATGGCCATCCGCCTACTCAAAGAAGGAAAAGAAAAGCACGCACAAGAATTCCACGTCCTTACCACCGGCGTCCCCTTCCCCTTCCCTCCTTTCCCCGTGGGCCGCAAATCCCCCAACGCAAGCCCAAACACCCGCGCATTACGCACCCCACTATGCGGCGTCACATACCCGCCGTATCCCGAGTGGCCGTTGAAGCAGATCGGCACGCCCGCGGAGGCGGTGGCGCGTGCGCACCACGACTCGCCGTGGTCGTGGCCCGAGGTCACGGCGAGGACGGTGCCGGCGCGGTCGAGGTCGACGAGGGCGTTCCAGACTGGTTGGTGGGTTAAGTTGTTGAAGGGAATGGGATATTCATATGCGCCGTGCGGGCTTACAGGGGAGGTCGAGCCCGGTGTAGGTGTTGTTAAGGAAGCCCTGCGTCGCGGGGTCCGGCTCGTCGTCGTGGTCGCCTACGCTTGGGCTGCGATGGATTTGTGTGTTATTCAACTTCGAAAGGGAGAGTCGAACACGTACAGCGGGGCCAGGACGTCGGCTTTCTGAACCTGCAAGAAATCAATTAATCGTGCAGAGGTTCGCCATAGCACCACTGACTGGAATATGCACGAACACGAGCGCAGGCGGGACGGTCTTCCACTAAGAACACACTTCGTCAACCCGATTTCGCGGTGAATATTGAGGACGACGCACCATAAACCCCATCAGCTCGCTCTGCCGCTTGATCCACTGCGGCACCGTGTGCTCGTCGACCCAGTAAAAGTCCGCCTCGGGCGGTGTCGGACCTGTCATTGTAATCCCAATACGAGAAACCGCAGAATCGGCGTGTATGTACGACGTACCCCCAGCCTGCCCCGGCCCGCCGGTGACGAACGACCGCGAGTCGAAGAACCACATCACGAGCGCAGGGACGAAGTCGTTTTGGTTGGCGTATACCGGCACCCCTTGGTACATACCAGCAATGAGTCCGTGAGAGTAGACGCGAGGATTGAACGGAGGGTGACTGACAGTAGTTCCCGCACCCGTAGGGCTTTGGTCCGACGTCTGCGCGCGTGTACGAGAGGGCGGAGTAGTGCTTTTGCTCGTATCTGCAGTGTGCAATTGTGGATTAATCGCGAATATATACATACTACTGTGTGTGGGCACATTGGATGAATCACTCACTCGATTTCCTCCAGGTGGTTGATCACGAGCTTAGAGCGTGTTCTTGAGCAACGAGAGGTTTGCATTGATGGGATTGGGATTCGACGACTGACCGAGTTATCATGCTAGAAGACCCGCCACTTAGGTTTCAGTCCACCGGCAAAGATGAGATGATTGGATGAAACTGACGTTTCCATGCGTGGACGAAAACGGTATCTTGCGCAAGGCCGTGGGCGCGAAGAGCTGGTCCAGATATTTCGTCGCGTTGGCTGCGAATACGTTCTCCCCTATTCGTATTGCCAACGCATCAATGAAAGAATTGAACGATAGTGAACGCAGGAAAAAGAAATGCATACATACCGGTTATGAGGTCGCCGTTGAAGACTCTGTCATGCCATGTCATTCCTTTGCTAAGTACGAGCGAGGATGGATCGATACTTACACATAATCCGGCCTCTCATTATCCAAAACATTGGCATGCACGATTGAAGTGTTGAGATCCTGCTGCGGACCCCAAACCACCTCTTCGCCCTCCCCGAAATGCATGTCCGAGAACGAGGCAACCTAAGTAGTGTGCCTATGAGTACGCAGTAATAAAGTAAGAAGTACGAGACCTTGAAGTTCCCACGCGCATCGAAGGTGAGTTTGCGACTGCGCAGTTGGTTGGCGAGGGTGCTGGAGAAGCTGTGCGCCAGTGGGAACGCGGCTGCGCCCGACGCAAGGAGGAGGATGGGCAGGAGCATGAGGGGTGGAGCGAAGGAGGGGAAGATAACGGCAACTTCGCGGCGGACATCAGAACTGTTGGAAGCGCGACTTACGCACGTTTCAGACCGGAGATAGCCAGTCCGAGCGCAGTTCGAGTGGATGAACGATTTTTGGGCTGGCAGAGTACCGCATCGACTAAAGTAGAGTTGGATAAAACCTACATATTGGAGGAACCGAGAAATTACACAGATGTAATATATTTTCCAAGGCGGGAATACCTTTCGGATGAAGGACATGAGTCAACAATCCAAGTCAAAGGGGTAAATAATACCGCTCGGCGATCCAAACGAGAAACTAGCCCACAGGAACGGCATCCCAATCCACACGAAGCATCGTCCGTCGCTCCTCGCATTCACCTACGCGTTTTCGTTGTCAGTCAGCAAATCCTTGAAAGCACGATTTCGAATCCACACGCACCCTCATCATCCGCACCAGCATCATCATACTGTATTACCTCTTGCCCTTTCCTCCAAAAGTACATCGTACCGGACCCATCAACCCACAGCGCCCTTAAGTCCGGATGCTGCGCCACAAGCGCCTCCTTCAGCTCGTTCACGTCGGGACAGCCGAAATCGATGTCGTGGAGATGTCGATATCGCCAGTGGATGGCGAGCTTTTGGAGGCCGGGGGGGAGGGGTGAGTGCCACGCGATGGCGTCGAAGAGGGCGTCCGGCTGTACAGCAGAGGGCGTTAAAAACTAGCCGGGTCCTGAGCGGAAACTGCTCACCTCAAGAGGACTGTCGTTCCCGTATGTGGACGAGACCTCCACGTGCAGCTCGGTGAGGTGGGGAAACACCAAACTCAGGCCTGCGAGATGGGTGTGGTCGAGCTCCTCAAAGCCCGCACGCAGAGCAGTGACGTTGTTGGGACACACGAATGTTTGAAAGTAGGCAATAGTATCGTCCCCTGGCCACCAGCAGGGGACGATGACACGGCGCAGAGTAGGGTTGGACAGGAGCGAGGGGAGATACTCGGCTGGTCCCGTGTATTCCCTGAGCGACGGGAGGATATCAGACATTGGGGACGGAAAGGTTTCGACGGCGGGGAACAGGAAGTTCCTCAGCGGGCGAGAAACTACATCGGTGATATGGAGCGTGTGCAAGTAGCTCCAAGGGTCGCCAGCGTGGATCTGGGTGGCGAACTGTGTGCTGTCCCTCAGCTTGATCTCCAGCCGGACGAGTTTATCTCTGCGCAGTAGAGGGAACCAGTGATCCAAGTCGGCCCAATAGTCTTTCAATATGAAGTCTGAGACGCCGAGCGAAGGGAGGGTTGCCGAATCGATTGTGTGATCCTCGGCCAGTGAACACCTGTCCAGTTCGAGACGCGCTAGATTGGGGAGGAGGCATAACTGCTCCACCCGGCGTTGAGTAAAATGAACGCTCTGGAGCGTGAGGTCGCGCAGACCCGCGAAGGAGGGCAAGGTGTCGAGAAGCGCGGTTAACAAGACGTATGGGTCCTGCTCGCGGAAGAAATGCCATCCGTGAACCCCGGAATTTGGCCACTCCGTGACACGACATGAGCGCACGAGCGGCGCGACGTCCGCTGCGCCCCAGCATTCCAGTCGCTGTAAGAGTTCGCGGAGTGGCTCTGGCCCAGGAATGGCCAAACTCGAAGGTGCGCCGGATGCCATTGGGTATCCGGCTATGCACATATAAGGGTGATATTCGAGGTGTCGGAAGAGGAGCGGCCGCACGATACGGGCAAAGAGGCGGTTGGTGAGGTGGACCCAAGCAAGGGCCTCGGACGGGAGATGCGTGAAGATTTCGAGCCAGATTTCGGGGGGCGTTCGCGAGAACGTAGCCCTTTGAGGTTCGGAGAGTGTGGAGGTCATGACGGTTGCTGGCAAGAGTGTTTGTGGCGTCGATGCCTATACCGTCAGGAAATGATCGCAGTGATTGGGACCGCTCCGGCAGATGGAGGCATTGACGCAGCTCGATACTTGGTTGAAGTCCTTCGAGCCTGAGGAGGGCGATGGCTTTGCGGCGTTTCACGCTTTATCAAAAGCTTTATCAAAAGACACCGTCTGAACTCCACTCCTGGTCCACATTTATTTGGCAGTTTATGTTCAGAACTATTGGATATGACCGCTCATTTTAAGTACTATCCTTGGTGGATTTTTCAGATCGCACTGTATGTCAGCTTTTTTGCCCACTGTACCAGTGGCGACTAGTCAGTCAAGCTTAGGCCAGACAATGCTCAATCTCCCTGAAACTCAAGAGTTTGACCCGCAAATTTCTATTCGCCGAAAATCACTCGGACCGGCCGCAGTGCGACTAGGGAGCATATCTACTGCACCTAGGGAGCCCCCATCTGGTCATACTCTTTGCCAGATATCGTGGTCGCGCGCCCAGCCGCCTCCTGTCGGTATTGCTTGGGGATGAACCACATCCCCGCCGTATAGACCAGCACCAGGAACTGTCATACCCGAGTAATTCAACCGCTGTTCGACGAAGAAGTGGATGGAATAAATGACGCACAACACACCAGAACGTCCACAGGCCGTTGAGTCCGCTCGGCAGCGCCCCCATGCCGGAGTATTGCGGCCACTCGTCGTGGTAGCCCGTGCGGATCTGCCACATCCCGAGCACAAGGATAATGATGCCGAAGACCGCGTGCAGGTAGTTCTGGATCGGGCGCCGCGTCGCGCTCTTGGGTTTGCAGAAGTGGATGACGGCGCCGGCGATGCATTGAACGGCGTAGAGAGCTATGAAGAATGAACCGAAATTCTGTGGGCTCTTGAGTTAAGTTCAAGTTCGAATTGTCGCACGAAGGCGCACACCTTGTGAGCATCCCCAGGGGTCTTGCCGTACGCGCCACTGGCCATGTAGCCGAGGA